TGAACTAAGAACTTAGATGTTGGAGACAAAGTCAGGAATAAGTACACTGTACCCATAACCATCTATATATAAGTATGCTATTGCAAGCTGAAATGGGTTTTCAAAATGAGGGTGATGTTGCACGAGTTTGGTCAACACCTGTATATATTATATATATATATGTAATATATAATATATATATTAAATATTATATATATATCATTATTATTATATTATATATATAATAATATATATATAATAGGTGTTATCACTCGGCTACCCAGTTGATCGGGAAGAACGAAGACATATGTAGGGAAACTGGATCCATGCATAAGCGAGTGCTCAGGACGGCCATGGCATTCGGTCCCTCCCGTCACCGATTAGGTTAGTCATGAGTCGGTACCCAACCACTAAACTTCATGGGACCGAATCAATTTTACACCTCATGTTAGATCTTAATTCAACCACGAATTACCTTTGTGTACCAACTACTTGCACGGGCAGACATCTTAGCCTATACAATAACATGCGTAACAACACGTGCAGAACTCAGCCCAATCAGCAGAATACAAACTCTTGCACCAATACGTGACTGTGATGACCTCAACTAACAGCCGACCGATCCAGAACAGTTAGCAACTAACTTGAGTTGTGAGGGAGTGAATTCGGTAAACGGAAAACGTAGTTGCTGCAAAACATCAACCTTGGTGGTCGGAAAACTTCCGTTCGGAACGGCTCACAAAGAGAATTTGCCATGGGACACTTCGGAGCCACCCGGTTGCCAATTGAAACGAGAACATGTGTATTGGACACGAAAAAACGTACCTAGTAGAGCGTTAACCAAAAGCACCAACCGACGGCATTCAGTGGTACACTCATGAAGAGAATAACAGCACACCCGAGCAAGCAGTAGAACGGCCCACTGTTATCTGCCCTAATAACATCGATGGTTCACGACTGTAGGCTATTTGAATACATTTTGTTTTCATCCACTCACAAATCAGAGACCTCCTTTAATTACTCTCCCCAACCCCCACCCTCTTTCGACCGAACAGAGTGTATCAAACCGCTATCGTGTCACGTTTTCCACTCCGCGGACGTTTTCGCCCGAGTTCACCACGGAAATGGGTGCTCGTTAGGATTGATCTCTCTCTCTATCCATTTCTGTTTAACTTTGTTATAGATCTGATTATGGAAACAGCCCTATCCTTGTGCGAGGATAGTGGCATAGATTTACTTCCAGGTGGCAGACTGTCTGAACTAGACTACGCAGACGACACTGTGCTACTAAGTGAAGATCCAGGTAAGTTGCAAGCATTTCTAGATAATTAAATGCCAGCGTAGCCATATTCGGTATGCGTTTTGCACCTTCAAAGTGTAAAATGTTACTACAAGACTGGGTTGGTCCAGCACCCAGCCTCAATCTAACTGGGGAAGTAATAGAGCAGGTGCATAAGTTTTGTTATGTGGGCAGCAACATCTCACCCGGTTGACACATCACAGATGAAGTATCAGCTCGCATACAGAAGGCTCGGTTGGAATTCGCCAACTTGAGATATCTGTAGCGCAGTCGCGACATTCGGCTGTCTGTGAAGGGTCGAGTGTATGCCGCGACAGTTCGGCCCGTTCTGCTATACGATGCAGAAACTTGGCCGTTAAGAAAACAGCAGAAAGACAGACTGTCGGCGTTTGAACACCGCTGTCTACGCAGCATTGCACGAATCTGGTGGGGTAGCCGGATGAGCAATGCTGAGGTGAGGCGCAGAGTTTTGGGTATCCGCGGTCGCCCACTGGAGCAAGTGGTCGACCTCCATAGATTACGTTGGTTGGGACATGTGCTACGCATGTCACCAGATAGGTTACCACGGCGAGCGATGTTAGCCGAAGCAGACACCGAGTGGAAAAAAACCAAGGGTGGTCAAGTTAAGACCTGGCATGAGGGTATGAAAACCTTAACCAGGAAACTGGGTCACATAAGTCCTGTTAGGCTCCCTGGGTGGGGACCTCGGGATGATCGTAACCGATGGTTAGAGACACTGAGTGATACGGTTGGGTGTCGCAACCAGTGGTGTTCGTGCATCTTCTCAATCTCTTTGCAACCTTAGACCACTGAACTTCTCCATTTTCTTTTCCACTCCATTTTCAAATTTCCTTTCTTCTCCTATTCTTCATCCAAATGAGCAGCCAAAAGACAGCAACGAAAACCGGCACACGAATATACGTGGTTAATGGTTGTTAAAACTGAAACTCCGCGGACACATTCGTTCTCCCGATACAGGCACACGCACTTCAGTGACTTGACTCTGCTGATCAAGATAAAGGAGTTCAGAAATTTCAGGAATTGTTTCCGGAACGGCCGTTATTTCAGATCACTTGTGTTCATCAATTTATCCAATTTTACCCAAGCTTATTCACAACTTCGGTAAAGGATAGCAATGAAATGATAGATCCATATCTATTTATTACCAGTATTTCTTTGCCAAAGATTTCTTAACCACTATACCACACAGTTGTAAAATCCTTGGTGAGCATCCGTAGTCTGCCATTTACACAGCAAGAATATCGAATCCTATGTTTGTTACAAAACACTATTAGTATTCTGGATGTTCCCTCGGTTTCCCAGCCACGATTCACCTCCCCCCCGGCGCATTTCATGAAAGTGGCTTGGTCGTGAGAATCGGAAGCGGATGGAATCCCAAAATCTGTCCGAGTGAATCGTTTTGTCTACGTGAGTGTACGATTCGCGACCAATTGTGTTCCGATTGGTTCATTGGTACATTAAAAAGAGTAGGTATACTTGTGACAAAAATCCAGTTCTCCCGACCTAATCGATAAAGANTAAAGATTCATTCCGGGTGCTTTTGCAACACGCAACACCAAGAAACCGAGACAACACAAGAGTCACGTGAAACCACTGCGTATTGTGCTGATTAAGTTTTCCAGAAGCACCCAGTAATATCGAGACAACAAACCTAACAAAACAGCTTGATTCACATTATGATGACCTGGTGAGTTTAGTAATTGTCCTACACAGAGCTACAGCAGCCTCGAACTTGAAGGAAGTTTACATCATTGATTTGTGGTGTTACACTGAGCGTGCAAATACTCTAACAATGTGTATAGTTTCACCTCAACAGACATCTGTTCTAATGAACACAATGAGCACAAAACTCACATTAGCGCTTGTTCAATTCCTCTACCTATGATAACGTTAAAGCACCGAGAGTCTTTATCACACATCACACACACACACACGGAACGTCAACTATCTGCCGTTAGAATATGTAACCAATCTCAATTGTGATATTGATTTCAAATCATTCCTACTTGCTAGATTAAACAAGTAGTCGAAAGCCAGAAACCGAAACCAGCATACCAGGAAAAAGCAGGGATAGAGACGGAAGATGAACTTTTCAAATTACTGAAAAGAGGATAACTGGAGGCCGGGAAGATGTGTAGAATCAACCTAGGTTATGAAAGTCAACCATGATGAATTCTCGACCTGATATACTAACCCATCAAAGGTAGCTCCACAGAAAAGAGGAAGTGGATAAAACTATGAGGTAGATTTGATATTTCATCAAAAATACCTCTATTATTTAACCAGTATTGCCACTAAAAGTCGAACGAAAAACCCCTATCCATGGATATCGCAGATCAGAGACCTCCCCCTCCCTCAAGTCTACTAACCAAATAATCGTGTGCGTTTCGGAGGGTTTACGTGTGGGAACTGGATAGAACTGTTTGTTTCGTTGCGAACAACTACGGTGGCACTCTGCTAAGCACATACCACTCAGACTGTCAAATAGTTATTTCTCTAAGGGCGTCTGATTTGGGTAAAAAGAAATCCCAATTTGATGAATGACTAGCACATTAGTGGAGCACAGCTCTGGCGATGGATCGATGACATCTAAACATGGAGTCGACTGATTTGATCACATCAAGAGAATCATGTAGCAAGTCACGTGCGGGTGATTAATATGATTCAAGAATCAACAATATATTAGGCATCTTCCATTGAAAGATCAACTGAGCAAAATCAAACGTTCATAAATCGTCATGCCATTTTCCTATCCGTAAACTAAGTCTTGGTGAAGGAAACTAAACAAGCAATCAATCGAATGGAATGCGTGACTTTGAAAGATCCATTGACAGGAATCACATCAGTAAA